AATGTTAGTTCACACACGCGTACCAGCAGGCGTGCGTGCGTACGTGCGTGCGTGCGTGCGTGCCTTAGTACGCGCGTTGGTACGCACGAGTTTGCAATGTTAGTTCACACACGCGTACCAGCAGGCGTGCGTGCGTACGTGCGTGCGTGCGTGCGTGCCTTAGTACGCGCGTTGGTACGCACGAGTTTGCAATGTTAGTTCACACACGCGTACCAGCAGGCGTGCGTGCGTACGTGCGTGCGTGCGTGCGTGCCTTAGTACGCGCGTTGGTACGCACGAGTTTGCAATGTTAGTTCACACACGCGTACCAGCAGGCGTGCGTGCGTACGTGCGTGCGTGCGTGCGTGCCTTAGTACGCGCGTTGGTACGCACGAGTTTGCAATGTTAGTTCACACACGCGTACCAGCAGGCGTGCGTTGGTACTCGCTAGCCCAATACGTGATAAAACAGAAGTGCAAATAGAGAGTCATAACGACTGCGTGCACGTTTGTGAAGTGTCTGGCTGTGTGTGTGTGTGTGTGTGTGTGTGTGTGTGCGTGCGTGCGTGCGTGCGTGCGTGTGCGCGTGTGCGCGTGCGCGCGCGTGTGTTTGTCACCCGCCTTGTCTCCGTGTCACCCCGCCATCTCTCCTCCCAGTACCATCACCTGTTTCACGTTGACATCTTTGCTGTGAGCGGGAAAGCGTTCGAATATCATGTAACCAAGCAGTGCACACACACTCCCCATAGCCAGGGACCGCGTTGCCAGAAACAAACATAGTTTAAACGTTAATTTTTCTTTTCTCGTAGACCGTTGCCAGAAACAGACGTAGTTTAAACATTTTTTCCCGTAGACCGTTTCCAGAAACAAACTTAGTTTAAACATTAACCTTTTTCTCATAGACCGTTGTCAGAAACAATCTTAGTTTAAACCTTTTTTTCCGTAGACCATTGCCAGAAACAAACTTAGTTTAAACATTTTTCCCCGTAGACCGTTGCCAGACACAAACTTAGTTTAAACATTATCCTTTTTTCTCGTAGACCGTTGGCGGATACAAAATGAGCCTTCATTTAATTTTTAATGTTAGTACCTTGTACTATGTACATAGTACATGTACATAGTACAATGAGTAATGTTATAACATTAGTATTAACATTGAGTGACTCTCACATAGTCTAATGTCTATACACTGCGTATGCGAAACTCAACTCGAACTCATACCATGCTTTTGTCAACGGACTAATACAACGGACTAATAGTAATAGATACACTTAAAGTTAAGACTAATGTTAAGACCAATTTTGTTAATGATTCTGCCCGCTCCCCTAATCCGTGATTATGAACAAGAGTCTCACATAGCAACTACGACCTCGCTGTGTTGAATGTTGTGACTAACTCGTTATCAATGTTTACGAGTGTTCGTAGCATAACGACAACCTCGCTGCGTTTATACGTGTTTACGTGTTGTGATCGTTATAGCGAATAACTCGTTATCAATGTTTACGAGTGTTCGTAGCTTAACGACAACCTCGCTGCGTTTATACGTGTTTACGTGTTGTGATCGTTATCCATGTTCGTAATCATGCTGCATATAACAACGTCGTTCGCTATATCCGGGTTTTTGCGTGTGGTCGCGAGGCAGTTACAAGGATATCTCTCTATTTGCATTACGAGTGATCGTACAGCGGTTATCTTTTGCGGCATGTATGTATATATAGATAGATATAACGGTATGTGTTAATGTTGATCGTTGTTTGTGTGTGTGTGTTGTTTAGATAACGGACGAGGGTCTACGATGGGTCGGGCAGCACTGCAGGGATCTACGACTGCTGAATCTACACAGCTGCTACAAGATGAACCAGACGAGAGTGAGTCATAGTTAATTCGTACTCTAGGACAAGCACTTAGATATAGCTAATGTGGCTATAGAAATATATAAGAATATGATATATATAATATATATATATATATATATATATATATATATATATATATATATATATACATAATAAAAGGAAGATAAGATAGAAGGATCTTTCTGTTAGCTTGTGCACCATGGCGTGCGTGCGGTGAAATTGTGCGTTGCAGAGAAGCATCTGAACGACATTTACGTGGCATCATTAGTCAATAGAGAATACATAAACATTAAGACTTTGGTAGTAAATGTGGTAAATCGTAATTGTGACTATGAATCGGTGCTGGCGTTTATCCGGGGCCCGATTAAGCGGGGACCACTCTCCTGTATACCGATTTACACCTGGATCGAGCTTCTCTATACATGCACTCTAGTTCGTGCTGCCCCCTAATGGCAAATTAAATCGTCAATCGGCACCAGCGTTGTAAAATTGTAAAATTTGATTTGATTCACTCCTGATATGTATTGCATAATATTGTATAACAGCTAGTGGTACATTAACGTGCTAAAAATTGTAGCATTTGTTTTGATGATATTTGTATACATCGATATTTTGTATAATTTAAAGAAATAAAAGATTGGTATCACAATACACATTGTTGAAGCAGTTAGATGCAAGCCTATGAGACCCACGTGTCTAAGTCACGTGTTTCTATACGTCCGGCAGGGATTCGGGGACGAGGGCGTGCTGCACGTTTCCAACGGCTGCCACCAGATGGAGTTCCTGTGCTTAGCCGGCTGCGCTAACCTCACAGACTCCTCTCTGCTGGCACTGAGCCAAGGCTGCCCCAAACTCAGGTGAATAGAATATCTCCTTCTACGTCTGTATATATATATATATATATATATATATATATATATATATACTAGATACGTGCATGTAGGGATATGATTTGCTATTGCACTGTGACACAAGTAATACCCATAACTTCTCAGAGTTGCAAACTCATGAATGCGTTTCCTATATATGCTTCCGAGTCGTTCTTAGGGCAACTTGGAATTCGCATTGTATCGATAATTGATATGTCTATTCATCCTATCGTTAATGCCCATTTATTTTCGCACGATAATCTAAGCAGTTTAATGTTAGTAACTGCCTTATTGCGTTCGGCAAAAATCGAATTGCTGTTTAACGTCGTTAAATAAGTTTTCATTTATATTTTATTAGACGCATAGAGGTCGCTGGATGCTCACTCGAATTCCAGGCGTTCGGTTTCCAAGCGGTTGGCTAGGTAGAGCTTGAATAGATGGCGCAGAGAAGGGATGATTGCGAGAATGAGAACCAGAAGAGGTCAGACGAGAAACATGAGAAAGAGCGTGACGAGACAACGCGCCACGCCAAGAGAGAGAGAGAGAGAGAGGAGAGAAGAGCAGAGGTTAGAGAGGGATGAGGGGGGGAAAAGATTATGATTGTATTTGTATTATTATATGGTGGTTGTGTGGCTGTTGAGAGAGCATGGAGGAAATAGGAATAGTTGAGGGAAAATGAGAGGAGGCAGAAGAAAGAGAGACCAAAGGAGAGGGACGGAGCGAGAAGTGAGAGAAGAGAGAGAGCGAGAGAAAGGAGAGAAGGAGCAGAGAGAGAGAGATTGAGAGAGAAGAAGAGACGAGCACCGAAGAGGAAGAGACGAAGAGAGAGGAGATAGAGAGAGCGAGAATGACAGAGGAGATGTGAACCAAGCTGAGCGGGGGAGATGCGAGGGAGAAAGAAAAGATGAAATAAAAAAAAAAGATAATAGTCATAGAGAGAAAAGACCTCAGCAGAGCCAGAGAGAGAGAGGAGAGCCAGAGAGAGAAGTAAAATAGAAAGAAAGACCGAAAGAAAAGAGAGAGACGAGAGAAGAAGAGAGC